AGGAGGGGGATTCAGAGGTCTTTTAAACTCACATCTTTCAAACTCCTCACACACAACAACTCCTCTTAAATCAATCCCATCCGATACAGTGACATCACTTCAGCAATATATCAGATTTCGTGCAGCTCCATCTGGTAACTGTATTTCCCCAATCTGTTGTTGTAGTCACATGACATGTAAACTGACTTCTGCTTAAACACTTCAATAAAAACTACTCTTCAAAAACAAACATGTAAAATGATTGAACTAAAAGCAATTTTTAGGCCCCATGAATACTTCTGATATTTATACTAATATGTGTCTGGGGCACTGGGGAGTCCCTGAATAAGTTACACAATATTATGTTTATTTTTAAGATTATATAAATATGTATTTTCTTTTTTTCATTAATCGTCATGTCATGTTTCGTTTATGCAAAAATAGGACAGAGAGTGAATACACAGACTATACAGAGATGCTGTGAGAAACCAATGTGAGTTTGGAACATTGAACAATATAAATCTAGACCTCAACAATGGAATTATGATCAGTAGAAATGGCCAAGACATGGGACCTTTACAAATATAAAAATCAAAGCATACTGCATATTTTTATGATATCTGGCTTTAATAATATATAATACCAATTCACAACATTCTTGCATTTTTTCTACTGTCTTCAGATGTGCCTGTATGGCACAGCTAGTGCTTCATTCATGTTGATGAAAAATCCACAGAGCAGTGTTTAGATAGGAAGCGGCAGATACTGTAGTAATATAAGTTTGTTTGACTGCTTTTGTCATCGCGGCTTCTGACACGCACAAGCATCATAAATACTCCATACATCCTCTCATACAAGCCTGGCTTTGGCTTTGCGCTGTTTGTCACTCTTTGGAATTGATAAAAAAAGATTGGTCTCTGGAGAATGTGTTGTTACCGTCATAAAGGGAAGGCCATGTCCACATTATTATTTTTCTCATTGCGGGCAGCAGTGTGCGGCTTTTCAGAGCGCTTTAATCTGCTCTCCAGCCGGACACGTGGGATTTGGCCTTGCCCCCTCGTCACCCCGGCAGACGTTGGGGGGGGGGAATATCAGATGGGGCTTCTGCTGGCGCACAGCAGCGATACAATCAGCATTCAGAACAATGGCCCACATAATAGCAGTTTTTCAACTAGTGGTTAGGTCCCGAAAGTGGTTTGAAGGACCGTTCGGACCCACAGACAGGCAGGTAAGAAATACAATCCTCAAAGACTTTTATACCGGCATTTACTTTACCGGCAGGTGATGAACTCCTGTCACACGTGCACATTCAGGAAGTTGAGCTATTTTATTTAAGTCTTATGATTTGAAGTAGATTTTCCTTTTCGGAATTTGTATTCTCTTACTTACAGTTGCAGCTTTTGGAAAATGCCTGAGCCCCAAAGCATGTTTTTGTGTATCAGAAATCAGAATCAGTTCCAAGTAGGTTTACAAAGGGATCTGCTTTTGTGTTTAGTGGTGCAAACGTAAAAAGCATAAAGACATAAACATCAAATATTTTTACTTTTTCTTAAGCCATTGAAGCTCATATGATTTAACTGTAAAACAACACATGTGTTTTATTTAAATGGCTTTTCAATGGCTTGCATGTGTGACATTACTGTATTGCATATAGCCAAAACATTGAATCAATGAGTTGATTAAATCTCTGAGAAACTAGTTTATAATAATATATTTTCAAATCATTTATTTAGAAACACGTGTAAGTATTTGATAGTTCGTATTTGATAGTTGGTATTTCCTTTTTATGCTTTTCAGATTTCATGTAACATTGTAAATGAAATATCTTTGGAGTTGGTTAGAGTCTTGACATTCTTCACAATATTCTGACATTTGTTTTGAAAATGTCAGAGATGAACTAAACAGCAAAGCTAGCCAGTCTTGCTGTAATTCTAGTAACAGTCCAAACACAGCTGAATAATACTTGTCTTTTTAACACTGACTGACACTTATTGTCATTCCTATTTGAGCACCGTTTAGATATTAATCAGTCAGGTCATGTGGTGAGTGCTGTCACTGCTGGAATAGCTTTAATATGGACTGCCCCTCTGGGACGAACTTGGTCATTAACTCTAATGCCATTTTCTGCCACAGAACCCCCCCCCCCTCCTCACCCTCTTCATTGATTCCAAAATCAAGAGGCAAACGACTCCCAGGACATTTAAGCACACTCCATTCCCCTCCTGCAAACTAAAGGGCTGGATCAAGTCTTTGTCTGAACTCTGACCTCCTCTTCCTCCGCATACAATCACCCGAGGACATTGGACACACTTCACCTACTCTCACTGTCTTAAACAATTTGTGCCTTGTTAGGAGCATGGGGAACATCGGGCTGAGGAGGGAGGGGTGATGGGTGTTGAGAGAGAAAGGCAGGAAGCCAGTGATGAAGACGAGAGGAGGACAGCTCAGATGGCGAGCTACATCTTTAACATAGCTGCTATTGATTTCAGATTGTCCCCATGGGAAGACAAAACGATGCATGCACAGTGTGAGTAGTTAGCACTGTCTGTGTGTGGGGGGAACAAATCAGGTACACACATGACCTGTGGTCTTATATCTAACGATATCTAGGAATATCACAGCAGGCATACACATGGTTCAATTTCTTTTTTTAACCATGCACTCAAAATGTGAAACATACGCCATTTTTTTTAACTGCAACGTGTTTTCTTCATTCTTTCTTAGCACTCTGTTCGTGATCAGATCTGTAATTTTCAGCAAAGAGGAGATAGAAAACCTTTATTACTTTACTTAAAGGGTGGGCATCTATGTTACAATATCATTTGAGCTAACTTTCCCTACAGTAATGTATAGTATACACATTTTCAAATGTTATATGGTCAGGCTAGGTTATCTAGCTTCCTCTTAACAATTGTTAGCTTGTTAGTCTAACTGACATCTGCCCAATATTTTATAAAATACAAACATAACAGCACAAAAGGTTCTCCCAAATATTTTAAAGTTGTGTAAGGCAATCATGGCTGTTATAAAAGTGCGTTAAAAGAAAGAAAACAAAAAGGAAATGTCTTCTCCTTAGTAGTGCCCCAAGTTTCAAACAGGTCCTTCACATTAGCATTAGTATTAGCATCTAGATGCTGCAGTTGGATATACACACTCAGAGGCTTAACATTTGATGCGGTTTCCATAAATATGTCCCAAGCCAATTTGATCCTTTTTTGAAAAACACAGGACTGGTTTATGTTTCATTAAAAAAATAAGAAGGTTGTATTAACTTTAAACCTGGTAGTGGAAAAACAGCATGTGCACAGTTGTTCTGCTGACTCGATAAAGTAGCTGTTTGATATCGCCGCAAGCATGTTTACCTGTTTTGTGCAATGCAAAGGACTAACACGTCAGAATGATCTCAACTGAAATCGCTTGATCTTATACATATACACTTCTGGTTAAGCAATGTATTCCTTTTTATCAGGCTGCATTTTGGACTATACAATAAATGATATGCGCTATACTTATGTGTGTCATTTACACATGTTGATGAACCAAAGATTAAAAGCATGTCTAAATACTTTCCTTTCATTAACTGTGTATTCTCTTTTGTACATTGAAGAGGTCAGAGAGGAATGCCTGTACAAGCACCAACAATATATAGAGTGTATTAAATAAAGCATGAAAACCCTCTCTGGACTAATGTCTGTGGAAGTAAGCAATAAGGAATTGAAATGATGCATTTAAGAGAACAAATATTACCATTTGAAATGGACTCAGCTGTTGTCTGTTAATTAGATGTCCTTGAGAGATAGAGCCTGCATTGAAAAGCAACAATAGTCTTTTCAGCGTTTTTCTATGGCTCTGCTATTTAGGCCTTCCCTTTGTAGACTGTTCAAGGCAACCGCTTGGCCATCTTTGGACCCAGCATTTTCTTTGTCTTCATCATTTTATGTCATTTAGAGAGTCACTGTTACCCTTATCTAGATATTTCAATTACATGGCTTCTTTGCCACAATGTCATTTATTCAATCATTGCTTTGCGCAGTATTATTGGTCCACTGTGAATAGTAATGGTTTTTCAGAACACAAAAGCCACCACTCACCACTATATGTGGTCCACTCATGGACGAGATGTACCCTAATCGTTATTCTCTGTGTGGAAGAACATGAACATTATTTTAACAAAAATAATATGTTTTTATTTACCATTCATATGGGCTCTTGATCAGTTCAGTTAGCATAGATTAGCAATAAAGCCAAGCAGCTACATACAGTAGGAAGAATCTCTTGTGACACAAAGGTACTGACATTCTTACTGGCAGTAGATACAAATGAAAAAACAAGTCTCTTATTTGTTATTATCCTGAAGTATTTCATCAATCTTGTTTTTGCTTCTGCTTTCTTTCAGCAATAGTCTTTCATTGTATTTGTATTCAGTGATTCCCTTTCTGTTTAGTAGTTTCCATTTGCAGAGCGCATCACTGCATGCTGCACTCAAATGACCCACAGCAACTTGATATGAGGGATTCACAGGGAATAATGCAGCATGCTGTCTTACTGTTTTACATTTCAGCCTCACTGTTGACTGTGTAACTCCTCAGGCCATTCTAGAGCTATACTAATGCTAACCAAACAGTACATATAATGTTGTATATCTCATTCAGTTGATTATTATTACTGATCCATTACATGTTCGGAGAGCTAGTTCTAACTGTTTTATATAATGTAGAGCAATTACATTAGAAGACAATGCATCGTATTCTCTCATCTTATGACCTGAATCTGCAAAGTAACAGTAAACAGTTTAATATTGACTTCTAAAATAAAGTGGAGATGAAACTATACAACATTTGAAACAATCCAAGAACTACATAACTGTTCATTAATGTGAACTATCCCTGTTGGTTAAACTAATACATAAATAGAAATAAATACACTCAACTGGTGAGATATGCTTATTTTTAATGTAAAAAAGGCACACTTTGTGAGACTGACGACACTTTGAAATGTATCTTGTGTCCCTGATCCTTTAGCATTGTGTTTGATTACTTGCTGTGACCTACAGTATATAGTCAGAAGTGACCTACTTTGATCAAATGAGCACTATAAATTGTGATGGGAAGTGCCTTCCTAGCAACCAGACAAAACAGCACTTCCTGTGCACTGAAAAAACTGAAACTAAATGTCATTAAATATATTATGTCAACAGATTTCACATCCTTGTATTAGGTTAGTTGAAAGCAATAATATTATAATAAAATGATAAAAAAAGATTAGGTTCAACTTTAAATTATTGCTTTCACCTAACCTAGTACAGTTGTGAAATGTGTTTACGTAATATTTGTGTTATTATGTAAAAATGGTAAATCAATCATGTGATTTCCCAGTTGGGGGAATGTTTAGTTGGGTGCATCAAGCTTCCTGATGTGATGGTGAGAGGAGACTTGACGCAGCAGTCTGCCGTCTCTGAGAGCTTCCTCCTGCATCAGTCGTGCACAGAGCAGGTTAACAGTGCTGCGCTCAGGGAGATGAAAAAGCATAAATTAAAGCGTTCCCTGAAGGAGAAGAGGGGGTGCTGGGTTAGCAACGCATTATCAGAGCACAGAGCTCAGTTTCATCCTCATGTTCTTTGTTAACACAAAGGGGCTCACCTCCATATGAAAGGACATATAACAACACAGAGACCCTGGCACAATGGCTGACTGCTGACAAATTCTCCCCTAATTCTGCCCTTATATTCTCCATTCTCAACTTGGGCTCTTTCAGGGAGAAAGCATCAAGGCTATGGTGATACAGTGCCGAAAAAAATAAAAAAGCTGTGTGCAATACAATATGTTTGCTGATGAGAAATATATCACAAAAAATAAAACAAGCACGCTCATGCTCACTTGAGAAATGTTTTAATTTTATACAAAAGAATGCAGCTAATAAAGGAGGGAATTAAGGCAAATGCTCAGAGCGATTGTGGGAATTTGGCCAAAAGGAAATGAGTTGCCTCACAGCCTCTGTCTGTCTCCCTCTCTCCCTCTCTCCCTCTCTCCCTCTCTCTCCCCTCCATTAGAAGCCTGCAACTTCAAGCAGTTTTGTAATCAGCTAAAAAACATATGTGGCTTTGCAGCTAAGACAGCTTGCCCAGGCGCTGATAAATGCCTATCACTAATTTGCATACGGTAGAAGCTACCCTTTAATCAGAACCTCTAATCCCTGACGGTATTAATGATTTTTTTTCTCCTCGTATAGTATCATGTTTGCTAATTCCAAAGTGATCAGCTTCTTGTATGCGTCTCTTTTTTTGTGCTGGCATAATGGCCGAGTTGAGAACTTCTGTTATCCTACTTTGGCACATAATTAGGACTACAAAGGGGACAAATCGCACTGAATGGGACTCACAAAGAGGAGCTCCTTTTTTCAACCCCTTCTTTTCTGCTGAGCTCTCGTTAACAGTTGTGTCACTCCACATACAGTATAGCCGCAGAAACGGGGAGAAAGAAATGCCAAATCTGGAGTACACGACAGCGCTTAAGAGTTCTTCCCGGGCACAGAGAAAATATCAAAATGTACCATGTAATTAAAATGTCTATCACCCCCCGGCTGCTTTAGAGGCTGCGTTTTCTCCGTAAAGTGGCACTCTAGGCTATAAAACACTACTCTTCATTTCCCTCACTTCAGAATGCTTCTACATTACCTTGTTTTCAGTTTTCATAAAAAATAAAATCTCACTTTACTGGATTAAAGAAGAAAAAAAGACCAAACTTTGTGATAATACAACAACAAATATTAGTATGATGAGAATCACGACTGAGTTCAATATTCCTTACGTATAAAAGACAAATAAATAGCTGTAGAGGGGCATGGCCTGCAGTTTTGGGTCATAATACTGCACGTGTAAGAGCGGGATTAAAAATGAAAGGGGAAAAGAAACAGAATGTCAACTAGGTGCACATGACAGCTGATTTATACAATTCATTTGGGCCATTACTTTTCATTAAAGATCAAATGAAATGGGTACTTACTTACTAAGAGGCCTTTGGGGAGCTGAATTGCAGAGAAGAAAGAAGATTAAACTTTACATTCAGCCCCAAATTTAATTCAGAAGTAATCAATCGCATAATGGGCCAGCAACTGTAGCCGGGGTGATTGAAATGAAATTACCATATTTTTAATCTTAATTTTCCACACTGTTTATCTGACACTGTCAATATAAAATACAAACAGATAATGAAATAGCATTATATTGACACTACAATCATCTCTCGAGCAGCCCTCTGTGATTAAACCGCTGGAATGTTTGATTACATTTTGTTGGCTGACATTACAAATGACACGGATGCTTCGCCGAGACTTGCTGCCGGCTGGAAAATGAGCCTATCCATCAAGGACTGCTGGCAGCTCTCCCTTCCAGTCGATGGCTACTGCCAACGGTCTGGGCACCCTTCTGTCAAGCCGTTTAGCACCCTCGAGGAGGGAGGGCTGGGGGAGCTTGAAAAAGATGGGGGGGACAGGGGGGTGAGACGAGTGATTCACGGCTCCCTTGCTCCGCTAATGATACAAAAGCAAAGGAGTCACAGAGTGGGAGAGAGAAAAATGTCCCAGGCAACATATCGCCCATGCAGGTGTCCCTTGGCGTACCATAAAGGGACCATAAAGCCCCCACAATGCACGGCCCCCAGTCTGCAAATCAACAGCTGCGCTGCGGCCCCGGATAGGGCTCCATCAGCCCCGTCCACCTCACGCCATGAAGGGCCTAATTACTTTTTAAGGGGCTCATCAATTTGCTCTTTGGAAAATTTGGAGAGAACTTCAATAGAAACAGGAACAATGTGAATACTTTATAACATTCATATATCAGTTTATTTTCTTAATACATTTATCCAACAACTTTTTAAGCTCAAGTTCTAAGTCACCTAATGCTCTTTTTCAAAACACTGAACATTTAGCTTTTTGGATACATACGTGTAAGGTGTAACATGTACAGTATGTACTGCAAACAAATATGTTCAAATGTTTGAAGATATATTTTCTTTGTAAGCACACTGTCATCAATGTTTTTTAGATGCTGCTCTTTGCCAAATTACAAGTAATTATGAAAACTTGAAACATGCACTGACCTTGGAAATATTCTCACATGAATTGCTGTCTATAGCATTGACACAAATGTCCTGTGTGGGAACAATACAAATGAACACATTATCAGTGCAACAATTCACCATATTGGATTAAAAAGCAGGGTATGAATGCAATCATGCATGCAACACATGGCCACATCATATTTCACCCCAGCATGGATATTGACAATAACTACACAAATGTTTTAATTAAACATTAATTGGATGCATCATTAGTGGATAGTGACATTTACTTCCATGAACTTAACTTCTTGTTTTCTTTAATATTAAGGGGCAACACATTTGGCCAAAACCCTCATTATGAATACAAACAAGAAATAATAAACAGACAAACAATATTAAAAAGGTGCCCTGGTTTAAATATGGGGTACATTGATGGATTCATTTCAATAGTGGAATAAGTATTCAAACCTATAACTTTAGTAAAAGAAACAAAACATTATGCATTTAAAATCTTACTTAACAAGTAAAGAGTACAAAAGTATTAGCATAAAGTATGGAATATGTATTATATTATTGAATAACATTGAATACAAAAATACTCTGAGCATGCACAGTGTAGTTTTCACAGTAAATGTTAATTTCTACAGTGAGAGAGGGGCTTGCCCCACATCGCTCAGCCCAGCTTAATGCAGTCCGAAGCAGCAATGTAGAGACCACTAAACATGATCTTAAAATAAATGTTAACCTATATTTTATACATATTTTTGGAATGATTATTTTAATTATTTTCTGCTGACCGTAGGTGGGGGTGGGGCGGTGTTCAAATGATTGAATTTACTTTAAATACTGCTGGGAAGCATTGCCTGTAATTTCCATTATAATTTGATAGTTGATTTATGTTTGGTAGAATATAAAAGCACAATATTTCCCTCCATAATGTGTTGGAGTAAAGGATACATTATCATACAAATATAAATGACCTTGGTATTGTTCTCAAGCACAGTACTTGGGTAAATCCACTAAGTTAAATTCTACATTTCACATTTAAAGGGTCTATTTATTACAAATTTAAGAAAATCATCTTAAAACTAGCAGTAATGAATTATTCATTTATTACATCATCTACATGGAGTGTATTGATTTATTTGACCCACATTAAATTACTCATTAACTTTATTCCATCTGTAGTCTTCAAACGCTTTGCTTCATATAAGAGAAACATGAAGTTGATCTTCACAATGGCTGATTTTTCTTCCAACCAACACATCCATTCATACATATTTGACATTATAGAGCCTTTCAAAATGTGCACAGACATACTGCAGAATCTCCACTCCTCTATCGTCCTGTGGAGGTGACTCAGCATTGCTCTGACGATGAGGAGGCTCATTCAGTGTTCTCAGCCCTGCTCCAGCTGGTATGGGAAAGACTTGGAAAGATTTCAGTTGCACTTGTTTAAGAAGTGCAGTCAGAAATGCTGGATTAAAAACACCTCTCCACCAGTGACAAGCTGTTGTTTCTACAAAATGCCAAAGTTATAGGAAGTGGTGTAAAGCGAGGCTGAGCACTCTCATATCTGCTGGAGCAACACACTCTCACTCCCTAAGCGTTCAGGAGCAACGCTTGGTCAGGGTCCTATGGCGTGCAGTTGTGACGCTCCGAGTCTCCTTCAGCTTCATAAACGGACGCAAAGAGCTTTCAACTGATTGCAATGTATTCCCATCGGCGGCGGTATTTGACGCTCAGGGAAGCACCGCACCCGTTTATGTCGGCGGCTCTTAAAGGCAATGTGAGCGTCCATTCCCATTGGATAACGGAGAATTGTACACCCGGAAGTAAGTGTTCTCCAAACCTCGTGATAAGTCAACAAGCTCTGTGATTGGATGAAACATAAATTCATACAAAAAAAGTGACTCTCATCTATTATTCAAAACCATTCTATTTATTCTAACGTAAATTACATGCCAGTGTTTTATCTTTGTATTACTTATATTTGTATACTTTATTTGCTATGAGTTATCTGAAGCAAATGATGTTCTGAAGATGTGTAGTGAATTCCACCCTTCAATGTAGCAGAAATGTGAACTCTCATTACAGGAACAATACCGGAAACAGACGTAGGAAAGATCCTCAGCTCGCTGATTGGATGTTTTAGCCACAATGCATGTTTTTAAAGATATTACTGATTTTCTTTGAATATAAGAATGTAAATACTGAGTTGAGAGAATAGTCAGGGGATTTGGGTGATGGGAGACACATCTATGGAATCACAATTTCAATAGCTTACCATTAAACGATGGATATACCTTTCTGTCTGTGATGTTTCACAAATCAGATATTAATGTGTAGAAGTAAAACATGAGAAATAGTATAGCAATATCCTGTAACATTATGTGAAAACATGAATACAACTACACATCTTCAGATGTTATACATACATAAGTGTTCTACACTAATAATACAAAGTTATTATTAGTATGCTGTGTGTACCTTGTGTGCACCGCCTAGTGGTTAAAGCACGTTATTGAATTATTTTTGTTGAATAATGTTATTTGATGAGACAAATATTAAGAGTACATACTTTCATAGGGGGATAGTAGAAGGTCAATGATAGAAATATAGAATATAAAAAGTCAAGAAGATACTATAAGTGATCTCTACAATAAAACAGTTTAGTGCACGATGTACAAAGATATTAATAGGAGGATGTGCAAAACAGACAAACTAATAAACCTTTATTAACACATTAAAGAATACTTTAGATTAAGGTATTCTTTCAAATAAGAAACAAACTTTGTCAGGCTTAATATTTATCTGTAGATAGTAGGGGTGTAACGGTACACGTACCCGTACCGAAATTATTCGGTACGGGCCCTTCGGTTCGGTACAGGTGTGTACCGAAGTGTACCGAACGAATATAACGTTAAACGTAAAAAATTGAGAACGTGAACAACTTTTTGGAAGTAATCTTAGGTGCTGCGTCGCAGCATTCAGAGTAATTTGCTCACATTGGGTTCAACGCGTCATAGAGCGAGCAAGTCATTTCATTGGATGAGAGGCATACTATGAGAGCTGGTCAGAGGGATGCGTTCAAATGTAGTCAGTAATTTGAGGAACTGTCGAAAATTAATGGCGAACGCAGATAAAGTTGAGCTCGAAAATCCTCCAGCATCATTGAAGTCTCCGGTTTGGGAACATTTTGGTTTCGCAGTTACGTACAAGGATGAAGGACAAAGACAGGTGGACCGAACCAAAGCTGTTTGTCGGCATTGTTCAATTAATATTGGTTACGCGGCTGGCAATACATCAAACTTGCACACTCATTTGAAAAGGCATCACCCGAACGTGAATATCACCGGTACCAAAAGAAAAAAGACTGAAGTGCAAACCCAACTCCCGCTAGCATTTAAGCCTCCACCACTCGCAAAACGATCAGACCGAGCCAAAGCTATTACAAACGCCAAATATCCTTATGTTGCCATGTTAGCAAAGCGCTACCTGGCTGTATCTGCTACCTCTGTCCCTAGCGAGAGGGTGTTATCCACAGCAGGAGACATTGTTAGTGCCAGCAGATCTGCCCTTTCGGCAAGCAATGTGGACAGGTTCATCTTTCTTTAAAAAAACATGAAAATACAATGACAAGCAAGTCCTAATGTCAAACTGGCTGCTTAGGTACTAGTACAGTACAGTTCAAATACAGATTATTTCAGTTCATCGAAAAGCTGCACCTTAATGTTTATTTTATTATATTTTGTATTTATTTGAGTGAATATTCACAGTTTAATAATAATTAAAAACCCAAAACTAATAGTTTATGTTTTGTGAGTACTAGTAGCCTACAGTAAAGTTCAAATACAGATTATTTCAGTTCATCGAAATGCTGCACCTTAATGTTTATTTTATTATATTTTGTATTTATTTGAGTGAATACATAATTCACAGTTTAATAATAATTTAAAAAATATATATATATATGTTTTGTTCTGTGAAAAAAAAATCTGCTGTACCGAAAACGTACCGAACCGAACCGTGACCAAAAAACCGAGGTACGTACCGAACCGAAATGTTTGTGAACCGTTACACCCCTAGTAGATAGATACCCCCAAAGTACTTAACGTCTAATATATTGCTTTCCTGCGATGTTAACTATGTTGAAGCACTTATTTTAACTGATATTATACATATTAATTATACTCTTATGTATGTAGATAGAATAAGAAATGTACAGAATATGACAGTTTAATGGTGGAGGTACACACATATTGATAGATGTCTTGTAATGTCACTGTTGCATAACTACACCGTAGTTGTGTATATGATATGTCAATAAACCTTAGAAAATCTTGAAATCTTGAAAGGGATGTGCAAAATAGCAATTATATACAGTTTTTAATGAACTATTAGTAGAGAATAACGAGTAATGAATATACTTTATAGGGATCTGCAGATAAATGTTTCGTCTTCTCAAGCACCAACTATCAAATATCTCTCCTGATTGTTGGCACTTGACAATCACCTTCCCTGAATTTTACTCAGGTGTAACTAAAGTCTGCTTTAAGGGTAGTTTATATTTCACATCATTAATCAGAATCTGCAAAGTAACTAAAATAAATGTAGCGGAGTAAAAATACCAGGTTAACCTCTGAATTGTAGTGGAGTAGAATTACAAAGTAACAATGAGCTGTCATGTGGGTATATATTAATGCTGCCCATTATGGATACAAGCGATTTTCACCCATTTATTAGTTATATGTTTTAAATGTGCACACACCAATGTGTTTCCTATCGCCTAAACCTCCAGGGCTGTACACAGTTTAATACTAGCAACTTCTAATTTTGGGGAAAACGAAAACGTCTTTTTAAACTACAATTCCCAGTAGAGACGTGCCATAGAGAACATGTTGCGAAACACAATAGCCAGCATGTGTAGTTCTGTGGGGCGTTCAAGTCCAGTTTTGAATAGTCTGCCGTGGTTTCGTTCCATTTCAAAGAGCTTGACGCTCGGGGTAACCTTGGCGCACTGCCACTCCAACATCCAATCCCAGAGCTTGAAAATAAATCACAGAGTTTGTCGCAAAGCGGACAGGCGT